GTAAAGTCTTCTATATTTACCTACATATTTGTCATTTCCAGTGCTTCTCATTTCTTTTGTGGATTAGAGTTATTCTGGTGTATTTCTTTTTAATGTTAAGGATTTCAGTACTTCTTTAGTAATCCTTTAGTATTTCTTGTAAGTCTGGTAGCCACAAATTATCTCAGCCTTTATTTATCAGAGTATGTCTTTGCTGCACTTTCATCTTATTTTATTTTTAAAGATTTTATTTATTTATTTGACAGAGATCCCAAGTAGGCAGAGAGGCAGGTAGAGAGGGTGGGGGGAAGCAGGCTCCCCGCTGAGCAGAGAGCCTGATGTGGGGCTTGATCCCAGGACCCTGAGATCATGACCTGAGCTGAAGGCAGAGGCCCAACCTCTGAGCCACCCAGGGGTCCCTGCACTTTCATTTTAAAAGAATAATTTTGCTGAACATAAAAGGTGGACACAGAAACATTCTTTGTTATTTTCCTTGCAGTATTTTGAATATATTATTTCAGTACTATTTTGTCTCCACTATTTCTGATGATAACTCACCTGTTGAGCATATTATTGTTCCCCTCTACATGTCACTCTTTTCTTACTGCTTGTAAGAATTTTTTGTCTATGATGTATTTTAATGATTAGTCTACATTGTGCTTAGGTGAGGATCTCTGTGAATTTATCTTACTTGGAGTTCAATGAACCTCTTGTATGTGTAAAGTTTTTTCCATCAAGTTTAAGAAGCTTTTGACCATTATTATTTGAAAAAAAAATTCTGTTCCTCTCTGTCTTCTTTTTGGGAATCCTACTTATGTTGGTAGACTTGATGATATTTCATATTGTCTCTGAGGTTTTCCTAATTTTCCTCCAATTACCCCCCTCTCCTCTTCAGATTAATAATTTCCACTGATCTATTTAAAATGCACAGATTCTTTCTTCTGTCAGCTCAAATCTATTTTTGAGCCCACTTAACACATTTTTCGTTTGGGTTATTATACTTTACAACTTCAGAATTTCCATTTGGTTCTTTTAGATAATTTCTACTTCTTCATTGATAACATTGGGGGAGCCAATGTCATTTTATTTTCCTTTAATTCTTTAAAATTCTTTAAAAATAGTTTTTGTTCATTTAATGAACATATATTTAATAGCTAATCTGAAGTCTATGCCTGCTAAATCCAATATTGGGGGCCCCTCAGGGAGATAGGCTTATTGAATGTTTCCCTGCCTCCGCCCCAGAATGGGTTTCACTTCCTTGTTTATTTGTATGTAAACTTCTGTTGGTAACTAGACATTTAAAATAATATACTGTAGCAACTTTTAATTTTATTTTTCCTGCTAGGTTATTTTTCTCTTTTGTTATCGTTACGGTTATCTATTTGCTTAGATTTAATATGCCTCTCCTGTGGTTTGCTTTGGTCTCTTCTCCATTTAAAAAAATTCTCTCTCTCTTTAAAAGCATATGGGTTACTCTTATTTCTTCATGGCTCAGGTCTAGTCAAGACTAATTGCTTATACTCCCAACATTAGTAAGGCTTCCAACCTCGCTTTGTTTGGTCTGCATGTAGGTTTTGTGTGTTGGCAGCACATTCAAAGCTCAGGTAGTTTTCAAGTCTACCATGACTTTTACTTTCTGCCTGGCCTTCTCAGATCTCTGTACATGAGCTCAGACTCCCAGTCACCCAGGGATGTGGGAAGAGCTTATATCCTCTTATGGGCTCCATGTCTGCGCAGCTTCCCTAGTCTCCAGGGATGTGTGAAGAATTTATCAAGACCGTCTAGGACTCTCATAACCAGGGTTTTCCTGCCAAGTCACTATTCAGTTTCTGGCTAATTCTCCTGTCCACTGCTTTCCCAAGCAGGACTAAAATCTCAGGTTAGGAGAGAGGCTGGCTTTTCCCATTTGTCACTATGAGTGTGGGTTTCCCACCCTTCATTCCCAAACTCCCCTATGGCAAACAAAGTTACTGGTTTTTATAGCTAGCCCACTCTGCTGGAATTCCCATGCTGGATCAACTGAGGTAGGGAACTGGGACAGCTCAGGAAAGAATGCCAAGGACTGCCTGAAGATTTACCTCAAGTTCAGCTCTTTTGAGAAGCTAAGCTCTTCTCAGTTTGTTGTTTTTGGCTGGTTCCTAGAGAGCTAAAATGGTGGTTTCTGAAAAATCTGTCTGGTTTTACAGTAGCTTTTGGGGGAGAGGATGTCAACTCATTCACTTCTTCGTAACTGGGAGCCTCCTGCTTTTCACTTACGTTTTGGTCTGCTAAATTCCTACACCGTAACAGGTCTTAGAAGCTCTTCAGAAAATTAAAAAAAAAAAATGTTTTCCCAACATTTGTTTTTCAGTATTTTCAGTGGAAGGATTAGTCTAGATATCTAGTCTGTTATACAGAAGAGTTACTACTTTATCAGTTTTTTATGACCATTAAATGAATTTCTTTATGCAAAAAATTCAGCAAAGTGTCTAGAAGACAAAGGGGCTCAAAAAAAAAAAAAAAAAAACAACCCAGTAATTATAATCAAGTCTGAACACTTAAATTGTAGGGATTTTACAACTTTTATTTAATCACGGCTCTAATAGGTAGGCATTCCAACTTTAACATGAGCCAAAAAATGATTTACTAGACCCAGGACATGCAGGTAGTAAATGGTGGAGCCAGAATCTCAATCCAAATCCACTTAACTCCAAAGCTGGGACGTTCCCCACGTTACCACACTGCTTCCATGGGGAAGGAGATTTCAGAGGCTGTTATTTTGGGGCAGCCTCTAGAGTAATTAGGAGATAGTAAGAAATTAAACCTATTACAATATGAGGGAGAGGGGTTATAATAATAATTGGCAGTGACCCCCATCATAGTGGGGCATCCATCGATTCTCAAAAGCAGACAGGGCTAACCAACTAACAAATGACTGTAACACGCCTGTACGGACCATTGAAACAGATAAGGTTTTGGGTTCTATATGGTATTTGCCCAAATTCCAATTATACATACAATGAACAACGAAATCTGAACTGAGGCTGCCACAGAAACACCTGAACAACTGAACTTTGTTCCATTTCAAAGCTTTCAAGTATATTTGGGAATTAAGTAGCAAATGTTGGGAATGTGGCCTCTTTTGGATCGAATCTTACAAGATGGTGACATTTATTTGAGTGATTATGAATCCGGTCCTCAGTTCTGAATATCCAGAAACCAGATTCTAAGCTACTACAAAAGCCTTCTTGACTGGTTTCTCCATTTCCAGTCTCTCCGCACCTTTGATCTGTTCTTTAACCCTCACCTCACCAATACTCCCCAAACATTCTTTAATCATGTTGCTTCTGCATAGTTTTTCAGTACTATTATACTCTTGATTCTCCACTATAGTCCTTTGTAACCTGGCTCCCGGTTTACCTGTAAACTCCTTCCTGCAGCTGCCTGTGCGTGGTGGGTTCCTGCAAGCTTTTGTTTGAGCTTTCTCCTCCTCATCTTCTCCCCTACTGCTCTGCCCCATCTCCCTTCCTGGGTGTACGCTTCTCTCTCTGTCACCTATCCAGATCTTACTGGTCCTGCAACATCTGCCTCCTTTCATTCATGTAGTGAACACTTGTTCATGGCAACAAGGGTGAGCTCCAAAGGTTGTCTCTAAGGTGCATTTCCCCATGTAACTTATCAAAAAACAAACAAAACACTACATTTTTATCCCACATCTAGCCTAGTTGTGGCTCCACATTAAGCAGAAATCTCATTTTTGTTCAGTTGATAAATCATTTTTATCCCACTTTTGACTACCTCCAACTTTAATATAATTAGGAGATCTGCCCTTGTCTCCCTGGAGTTATACATCTATTCTAGGCAATCTATCCTGGTTTAGATATTGTCTCTTCTGGGCCTATGACACAGCATATGTTTATAACCAAGTAACAAATATACTGCCAGAGGAAAAACTTAATTATAATTAGGAGTCTCATAACTGAGGTAGTCATAAATTATGTTGCATAATGTTCTTAAAATTATAAAACTATTAATATTTGAGTGCATTAATTATTTTGCTTCATGCTGTGCAGGCAGCCAAGAGATAATGGCTTCCCTTTAGCGAAAAAACCCCCAAAAACAAACAAACAAAAACCCCCCCAAAACCCAAAAACCCCAAATGCTATTCAAACGCTTGGTTTGCTCTCAGCCCATATCTCATGTTTTTTCTTTGCCATCTTTTTGGTGCCCATCACCTTCCCTATGTTTTTGCCAGTTAGTCATCAATGTGCATGGGATGAAGTAAGAATACTGGAATACTAATCAGTTTACCAGCTGGTCAGCCTCCTTGTCCCAGTCTCACCCTTTCCCACACAGGACAGGGACAGCGGGAGAGGGAGGAGAGGTGATAAAATGTGCTTAGAAAAGCAAAGGACTTAATAAAAGAGGAAAAAATAAGAAGTGAAGAAGGATAAGGGAAACATAGGAGAAGCGGTAAAAATTCCCGCTTTAGTGGAAATGAACCAGTCTTTCACCAATTCCTACTGGTTAGTACAAGACGACACATATTTAAGAAATAAGAAAAATACATTCCGATGAGAATTATTTGATAACACCTCTACAGAAGTTTGGTGGGTGAAGCAAAACGAAGAGAGCTGGTATAACGTGTGTCTTTCCTATAATGGCTTACTTTATGAGCACAGAAAATCACAGCTGGTTGCAAACACCCACACTTCATCAACTAAAGGTGGCCAAAGACTTATTCCCATTTCAAAATATTTTACTTGATACTACATATAAAGATGTTTCACTAATGATCTTGAATTCCAAGGGACTTGAAAATTTCATACAAATAATTTTGCTTTCCTTAAGTCAATGGAATTCCATTTAATCTTACCTGTGCTCTAGGAAAACAAGAAACAAAGGAACATTTTCGGCTAGTTAGGTACACCAGAACTGGGATGCAAGAGGAAGGGAGAGCACGTTGGCTCTCCCTTCTCCGCGGCAAAGTACGGAGAAAAATAAAAGTAGTCCTACTCTTTTAGCAATCTGCTTCTTCTTACCCAAAACATAAATCTCACTGTTGACTACTGCTGTGCTGAATCGGTATTTAGAGAACTTCATGGGCGCCCGCTCTGTCCATTGATCTTGGCCAGGGTCATACTGCCACAGTCTGTTGCTTAGTCGATCTGGTTCTTCATCAGGGAGATCCATCTGTGTGAAATATGGCAGCAGATATAATAACACACCACTGGGAAATCTCTGTGAGTGCGTGAGCGCGGTTAGTCCAAGCAGGTGACCAAGGAGACGAAGGGGACTTAGCTGCTGAGCCTCATACTCACAAACACACCAGATCCCCTGACTTGGGGTGATAAGTCTACTGCCAATGTCAGAGGAATTTATATACTGCAATAGTGGGGCTGGGGGATTGGCTCATAGCCTGGGATCTGAGCAAGGAGACAAGACATCAGTTTTTACAAAAATGAAGCGACTGTGGAGCCTTGAAAATGAAACCCAACTTTCTTGAACAATGTTTAAAGTGCAATTTTGTTTCAACAAACTTTATAGTGCTAGAGTTTAATGATTTTTTTGAGACATTAAGTTTAATAATTCATAAGGCATTTTCTTTATATTTTTCTGATCCAAATGGAACAAAATTAAGAAAACATTTTAGTGTTTTAGTAATTAGAGTATTTTTATACCAAAATTATGACCTATATGGGAATGGTCTGAATTTCATCTTCAAGACTGGCAGATTAATATACATTATTTGCTGTTATTATTATGTATTTTTATATACATTTTTAATGACTAGAGATAGTAAAAATTGAACAATTTACTCTTACACACATGAATATGGTTTCCTCTATCATAAACTTCAGACGAAGTAGTGTTTGTTTTTTTTGTCTTCAATGTGTCAAGAACTTTTATGACTTCAGTCTAAGGATGCTTTTCAAGTGTCTTTTGTTTTGGATGCAGGTGTTTGACACAGAAATAATTGCCATACTTATGAAAGTTGTAATTAATTTAATTACTTTAAATACACCAGGAATTATGATCACTGTGATGCATTCACAACCCCAGGTTATCTTGCAACTTAATGTAGTGTTTTAGGTAGAGACCAGCAAAAACTTTTGTTATGCAATAAATACCCACATGTCATTTGTTCTAAGACATTATACAGTAACATGTTTGACTTTATTGTTTTAATTTTCCTTCTAAGTTTTAAGTATTTGATCTTTATTTTAGTGTCAAGAAAAACCAAAGAAAAGCTTCTACATTGTCTCTGGAGCTTATTCATGCAAAATTAACTACGTAATGGATAGCTCTGAAAATGCTTAATTACAAATAATTGGTCAGGTTTCAGCTACTTGCTGTGATTAAATCTGTACTACTTTTTGGTACACAGGACACCTTCCAAAATGTATTAACTATGAAGTTTAAGGTTTAAAAACAGGTATTATATGCTATAAGTGGCAAAATTCAAGCTTATGAAATGAATGCCAACAGCATCAGTTTTATCAGTTATTATCACAAAGTAAATTGCCAAAACAAGAAAGCATACAGGCAAAAATAAGTTTGCTTTTTGTCATGGGGATGGACAATGAGCTAGTAAGATTCATCTAATGAGAACGACTGGCAGGCCAGGGCAGAAGGCAGCTGGCCTGCTGCTACTACCATGAGAACTGAAGGCATTGGGGGGACACCGAGAGAAGAGGAAGAGCCACTGTGGTTGCCCTCTACTGACTCTGCAGTCTTGGCTTGCCATCTCTTCGCTGGGCTTCCATGCAAATGGTATCCTGGTTTCTCTATCCACTGGTGTCCAGCAAAGCCATAAAACATTTAAAATCACAATCTACTTTTGTGGAAATGGTTGAGCCATCACGGGTTGAATATTCTGGTTTCCCATGTAGAGTAAGAACTTTAAATTTGGAAGAGACCTGAGAGTTCCTTGTTCCAGCTCATGCAACCATTAAGCAGACAGAAGTGGGATGAGGAGCCGGTGTCTCCGTCTCTTACTTAGATGCTCCCTACAGATAATTTCTCAGCATAAGCATCTTTCATAATTAGCAAGAATGGGAAGGATTCTAAAGAGCATAGCATGAATACTGAATGCAGTCATGTCTATGAATAACACACTTTAAAATTCATTCTCCTAAACTGCTTTAACACTTTACAATCTTAAGTTTAATATTCTATAAAATAAAAGGCATTTTACCAAGATGTAAGTCATGCTCTTTTAGTGTTCAGCAACTACAGTATTTTTCAACCCAGCAGCCAGACATAGCCATGCCAATTAAGTATACAGGAAATTTCTTAACCTGAGGGGTCCAGCCTCCAATCACGTAAAGTTTATTATTCACGGTTACTACGGCATGGCATGCCAACTGCAGTGGAAGGGGACACACCCTTCTCCAACTGTCCCGTTCTACAGAGTACTTATCCACACAGTTTGTAATGAGATACTGGTTTTTGACTTTCATCTGTCCTCCTATAACATAGAGGTCATTATGGACACTGCCCAGAGCATAGAGCTCTCGAAATTCAGCGGTGCATAACTTTTCCCAAAACTGGTTTCCTCTGTCGTGATACCTGCAAATTAAGAGAGAGAACCCAGGATGAGTGTTAACTGGAAAACTTACCCACGAAACACACTTAAATTTCTTTTCCAGCTAGAAACAACACGATTTGGTTCATCTAACTGGAGAGGAAGAAACATTAATACAAGATAGTAATATTGGTTTGTGGTTTTTTTTTTTTTTTTGGCAAGGGTTGAAGAACAAACAGTAATATGCACGGAAATAATTAACCAGATCTCCCTGCAGAATTTTAGAAAATACATTGACAAAGTATAGATTATCTAGGACTAGCTTTCATTACCTAATTCTGGGAAAGAAAATCTAGAACAAATAGGAATGCTTGCAGCAAGTCATTTGTAATTTTACTAAAAAAGAGGAATAAGCAAAAATGAAAAAATATACAAAAATGACTTACTCTGTGGACTAGAAGTCTTACTTTAATACTGTACTTAAGCAATCAACTTTCCAGTAGAGAATTTCAAAATATCTCAATTCAGAGATTTCTGATGGGACAAGGTAGGGGAGGTAGAATTTTAAGGTTTGTTCTTGTGGTTCTAACTGACTTAGAACAGAGTCAAGAGCACATGTTAAATGTCTGCTACATTTAACATCTATTTTCATAGTCTGGGTATAATATTACTGAAATTGTCAGTAATTTCTTCCATGAAAAAATATCTCAGTCTGGAAAGGGTTTTGGGAGGTAGGGACATCAGGATATACGGTCTTTCAATACCTCCTAGAGTCCAACACATTAACTGATGGTGTGTGTGTGTGTGGCATTATGTAGTCATTAAACGTATGATTTTGTGGGTATCCTTTGTCTTGCCTCTTGATAATGGTAAGTCTGTTTTCTCCAATCATGATTTGGGATGCATAGTCTAAGAAGAATAAAAGTACTTATGGGGACAGTGGGATGTGAAATTAGATCTGTCCCAGAAAATCCAGAATATATTCTGGAACTCGAAACTAAAACAAAACCAGGAAAATATGGAAAATAAGAAAAAAAAAGCTGTTCTGTTTGGAAATAAATGAAGAAATGATGAATGTTCTATACAGAGTACAGTTTTAAAGTACAGAGTACCGTACAGTTTAAAGTATGCTACTTATTTTGTATCAAACACTTGACAGTAAATTGGATTATTGGAGTTTTGCCCAGTTGTTCTGAGTCAACTCTTACATTCTTCCCTAGAGAGAACTCTTTACTTTAGGCTTAACAGGGAAGTTGGAAGATATTCCCTTCCCGGAGGGCATGTCTGGCTTGTCACAGTCTAAATGCAGAAACTCAACAAACCCAGTCATCACTGTCTTTCTGTGTAATCTAGGTAGGAAACCAGTCCCTAGAATCACAGTTGATATTTTTACCACGACTTTTAATTGTACTGGATTTTAGAAGAGGAAGTAGGATTAGGTGGCAAGCGTGGGGGATACTGAAGTAAAGCCAGTGGATAAGTACATCAACAGAACTAAAAAATGGGATTTTGGCTGAGACATGGGTTAAGAATACAGGCCAAGTATGAAACACATCCCATGAAGGTTGGTTTGTTGGGCAAGCTTGCTAATCTGATTTTTAACACCTTGAACTGAAAGTGGGGAGAGAAAACACCCAGATAAAACTATAAAACATCTTATTAAGAAAAATGGATATGACATGAAAAGGAAATAGTGACAAAAGTGGCTCAACATTCACAGAGGTTGATAGTGTTAAGACAACAATTATATCCTCAATGGTGTGTACACGTAAGTAAGAGAGAGAGTTAACACAGAAAGGTGTATCTTTTCTGAAAAGAAATGGCCTACTAGAGAGTACAGTTATCCTTCCTAAGTCAAGAAGAAATAGATCTGCATAGTAATCTATGAACTATATAGAGTAGAGGCAAGTTGAAGAACATTTAGGCAAAGATAAAAGGGATAAGAACAGAAATAATAGAGTAGGAATGTACCGCAAGATGGCCATTTCTCACACATATCACAAAACTGGCACTAACATGACCTTCAGGAGTGCTCTAAGATTTTAATTATCCAGATATCTGCTGGAAGTCTGGCTCATTGAAGCCCAAAGCAATGCATCTGAAAATTTCATTATTTGCCATGCTGACCATTTCATTATTGGAGGAGGTGAGCAGGGTAACTGATACTTTGGCCCTAACTCTGAGTCCTGAGGATGAGCTGGTTGGTGATGGGAACATGGCTGAGTTGAAGACAGGTAAGAAGGAAAACACAGAGTATGTAGTTAGTTAGATACGTGTCATCAGAAAGGGAAGTAGGCTTTCAAAGAAAGTCAAGAGGAGGGGTGCCTAGGTGGCTCAGTGGGTTAAGCCGCTGCCTTCGGCTCAGGTCATGATCTCAGGGTCCTGGGATCGAGCCGCGTATGGGCTCTCTGCTCGCCAGGGAGCTGGCTTCCCCCTCTCCCTGCCTGTCTCACTGCCTACTTGTGATCTCTGTCTGTCAAATAAATAAATAAAATCTTTAAGAAAAAAGTTAAGAGGAAAGATGCCGGATGATCTTAAGAAAAAGACACTTGGACAGGGACGGAGATTTATTAAAAATAATGGCAGTCAAGAAATGGGCAGAAGACAGGAACAGACATTTCTCCAAAGAAGACACACAAATGGTCAACAGACACATGAAAAAATGCTCCACATCACTCAGCATCAGGGAAATACAAATGAAAACCACAATGAAATACCACCTCACACTGGTCAGAACGGCTAAAATTTACAAGTCAGGAAACAGCAAATGGTGAGGTTGCAGAGAGAGGGAAACCCTCTTACCCTGTTGGTGGGAATGGAAGCTGGTACAGCCACTCTGGAAAACAGTATGGAAGTTCCTCAAAAAGTTAAAAATAGAGCTACTCTATGACCCAGCAATTGCATTACTAGGTATCCAAAGGATACAAACATAGTGATTTGAAGGGGCACCTGTACCCTGATGTTTATAGCAGCATCCTCTATAAGTATGGAAAGAGCTTGGAGGTCCATCAACAGATGAATGGATAAAGAAGATGTGATATATATGTGTGTGTGTGTGTGTGTGTGTGTGTATGTGTGTATGACAGATGAATGGATAAAGATGTGATATATATGGAAATTATATATATATATTAAAATTTTAATGTATATAAAATTTATATTTATATATTACTGAGCCACCAAAAGATGAAATCTTATCATCAGCAACAATGTGGATGGAACTAGAGGGTATTATGCTAAGTAAATAAGTCAATCAGAAAAGATAATTATCATACGATTTCACTCATAGTAGCATTTAAAAAACAAAATGGAGGATCATAGGGGAAGGGAGGGAAAAATAAATTAGGACATAATCAGAGAGGGAGACAAACCATAAGAGACTCTGAAGTCTAGGAAACAAACTGAGGGTTGCTGGAGGGGAGGTGGGAGAGGGGATGGGGTAACTGGGTGATAGGAATTAAGGACGGCACATGATATAGTGAGCACTGGGTGTTATATGCTTCTGATGAATCACTAAACTCTACCTCTGAAATATACTATATATTAATTGAATTTAAACAATGGCAGAACTGTGGACCATCTTGATGAGGAAGAAAAAGAGCTGTGCAAAGAACCTGAGATACTTGTACAAGTGACTCTCTGATGAAAAGAAGGGCCCTTGGGATCTGACATCTGATTATTTTGATTATTGGGATCTGGTTATTCTGAAGAAGGCTGTGCTTACTGCCCAGGGACATGCTTGGCCCTTAAGGGCATAGGGCCTGGTCACTCACCCAGGGCTCTGCCATCCTTCCCCCATCACTACCAGGGGAGATGAAGGTGAAAAGGGGACAGGCCTATCACTTAGAGCAGATAATGGAATGTTAAAAGATGACAGGAAAATAGTAGACCTCTTAATTCTTTCCTTGTCCCAACTTTGCCAGCAAGAAGAATTCCTTTCTCAGTGAAAAGTCCGAACAAATCCTCGTAAGAGGGAACTGAGAGGGGAGGACACTGAAGGACAGCTTTACTACCTAGTGCTTATTCTATGTGCCTATTTCTTATTTACCCAGTTAGACAGAAGCCCTGAATGCTCACTGAATACTTGAAGAAACAGTAAACGAATGTATAGTCCTCACACAGGAGACCTAGAGGACATGCTACTTCTTAGCAGACACTCCCTTCTCCTCTGATTCTGGGCCTTGAAGCCTAGAATTCTTAGGCCATGAACATTTTATGCTCTTGGAGGTTCAGGAAAGATCTACAAATTAGGGATACAGAGTGAAAACACAGATAATTAGCAATTTTGGGGTGAAAAAAATTAGTAATTATTTACTACTCTGAATTATGAACTAAAATATCTTTTCAAAGAAATCTTGTTAAAAGTCATCTTACACTCTCCAAACTTGTAACTAAGCAATTGTACCCTTTCATATGGACCAATAATGAAAGCTGAGCATGAAACTGTACAGTGGAATCACAACATATATACATTTAACTTATGGAAATCCAGCTGTATGTGCATCACAAATAAAAGGAGAAAGAATAATTTTAAAATGTGGGTGATTTCATTATGAATTTTCTATACACGTAAAATATGTTAATTACAGGGTAATTTTGACTACACGTCATTGAAGAGATGATCCTCTTTCAGGAGGACTTTCTTCTACCCTCGATAATGTCAGAGCAATTTACAAATATTGCAGACATACAAACCTATAGATTTCAACATTCTTGTTCTTTTGTCTAGAGAGTTTAGAGGCACTTGCTTCTCCAGACACAATTATGGTGTTGTTTTCCATGACCACACCGGCACACACAGTTCCCAAGCCCTCTCCATACTTGGGAGACGAGACAAAATAGGTCTTTCGTGAAGCAGGATCGTAACAAAAACTGGCGTCCCCATAGTTCCTGTGTCTTGACCTGATGCCTGAAGAATTGTTGCCAATGCAAAGCAAAAGACTAGTAGTCTCCATGCCATAACGAAGATTCAGAGAATGCTGCTGGGGTGTCTTGATGGCTTTGAATGCGTTCTGAATTATGTCAATGCAATCCGCGTCACACAGAAGCATTGTGTTCCTTTTTAGGGCTTGTCTTAAAAAAGAAGGATTTATAAGTTCCAACCGGACTTGCTTCAAAAGTTCAACCAGATGCTCTGTGCGCAATGCTTGGTTATGATTTACCCATCTCAGGACTAAGTCCAGAATGCTCTCCTCCCTGGATATGTTAAGGTCATCCGATTTAATAAGCTTCAGAAATTGGTGTGCTTCGATTTCCAATATTTCTTCATGTAAGCTCACCTCAGCAAAGTGCTGATACAAATACTTCTTCGACTGATCAGATAAATCTTCAGCTCCAATCTGCTTTGCAAAATAATAGATACCCACACAGTTCGAGGCGTCCATATGGTCCATCATATATTTTTGACACACGTTGAAGATTTCTTCCATCTGCATAAAATAGGCAGCCATAGCTACGGTCTGCACATTGGTGTTACTGATCTCTAAAGCCGCATTGTACATGTAATTCAGTATCACAGACACGCTTTCTGCTGTGATGTCATAAAGTATGACTTCCCTTTGAGTACATTCGAGTAGTCCACAGGTGAACATAGCTTTGAAATAAGGACTAAATGCAGCCAGGACCAGCCTGTGGCAAGGAAATTTCTCCCCTTCTGCTATGAGTACGACATCGATCATTTCTGCTAATTCTTTCATGTTCTTAACTTGATTCAATAAATTCAAACTATGTTGGTATTTTTCTTTTCCCTCAGCTTTGCACTCCATGATACACTTTTCAGTGCTTCTAAGTACGTCTTCTTCAAATGTAGCTGGATTCTTGTGGGGCTATTTGCATGTCTGATTACTCACAGAGCAACAGAGATGTGCTGGAACACTCCTGAAGGAAAGAAAAGAATTGGGTTTCCTGTAAGAACACAATTCTTGGTGATTTAAATATGCAGTATTAGTGCTAAGAAGTATTTACAAATAAATGTTATTCACCCCAAATGCAGTAGTTTAAGACAACTTTTGTGTCTAGGAATAATGTCAGTAATTGTATAAACAGTAAATTATCAACTACTAACAACATTTCACCTAATCAGCAGCAGAGGTCTTTCTAGGAGGGCTGGAAAGTCCTCCCTCCCAAGGTGAATGAAGAGAGAAGTAAGAGAAGCCTATTTTGCAACTCCATATGCAGTTACCAGCTGCCTGCAGGCCAAGGGGGTAGGGAAATTAGGTAACCTGCTCTCTGAGGAGATGCATCACTGCAAATGTCATGTATACCTGCTGAAGCAAACAAACAAAAAACCCAAAACACCCTCAAATGTTATAATGGCCCCAGAACCACGCAGGATGGCTGAGAAAAAAAAGTCCATTAAAATTACGTTCAAGCTTTTCCTATGGTGCAAATAATTCAAAACAGTGCTTTGGAAAACATAACCAAATGTCTGCTGATCCGAGAATTCACAAGACTTGAAACTTAGAGCTAAATCATCCTAAACTTAGAAAGTGCACAAAAGCCATCCCGTTTCTCTATCCCCACTCCTTGCTCAGCTTCTCCTTGTTTCTTACTCCTTAAGATGGACTTACTTCTCCCCTTAAAAAGCCCTCGTCTAATCAGAAGTCTCTTTAAGCTAGTTGTCTGTCTTCCCCTTGCCCAGGGGAATAGAAACAGTGTTTCAAGGAAGCTAATTAGCTGTTTGGATTTAAAGAAGGAATTCCTAGAGTCAGCAACCTTCATGTTGAGGAGCAGGTCTTCAGATCCTGACACCCTTTCTAGTTCTTACTTGGCTAGAAGTTGTATGAGGTTAAGAATGAACCATGGTAGAAAAGCCACTCCTAGGAATTAAGAGAGGAAGAGAAGTGATGGTTTTAATCATTCGAAAGCATAATTTGTCAGCTGTCAAAGTTCTACATTTCTATAATCCTATCAAATTTAGAAATCTCAGTGAGATTGCTCCATCTCAATTCTCACTGTATCTCAATGAGAAATGACACTTTTTTCAGTGTTGAATTAAAGCTCATTGAATCAAAGTGTTAAGCACGAAAGAAATGTTTAAGAATACAATGGCAACTATAAGACCTAAAAATCACTGAGCGGGAGTGTGTGAAATGATAACAACTAGCTGATCTAAGAATCTGTGTAATTGAAATAGGAATAAAATCCTCCTTGCTACATTTTCCAGCATTAATGTCTCAGCTTGATTTCAGTAAAAGCTTAAGACTATCTTTGTAAGGCCTTGTAGGTTAGAAGTGAACCCTTGTTTTTTACTTTCATTTGTTTAGATTTTTACCAAGAGAATCCTATTATGGGTAATTAAGAGGTCATTATATTTCTGAGCTCTCCTACAACACATTATGAGTAGCCCAAATCATATTATGTGGGCCTCTTTGTACATAAACACATCAATCAACTTTATAGATGGCAGCTGTTACTTTGAGCTGAAAACCAGAAAAGTTTCCTTATAAGGAGATAAATATTAACAAGTTTCTCCTATTCCATTTGTATTGATACCTAAGACTCACTCAGAGGATACCAATACCAGTGCTAGAAAGCCATGAGCAGTTTCCAGGTAGGATCACTAGATCTGGTACAATGCAGGCGGTCCAGACTCCTTAGTTCCCAAAGCGTTGACCTTGATGTTGCTAGGAAGAAATGAAATGCTGGGGGCTCAAATGTTATGACCGCAACCCCAGGGTTTTTATCTTTTTTTTTTTTTTTTAAGATTTATTTATTTATTTGAGAGAGAGTGTGAGAGAGAGCACCAGAGGGTTTTAGAGCAGAGGGAGAGGGAGAAGCAGATTCTCGGCTGAGCAAGGAGCCTGACACAGGGCTGGATCCCAGGACCCCTGGACCATGACCTGAGCCAAAGGCAGATGCTTAACTGACTGAGCCACCCAGGTGCCTCAGGATTTTGTATCTTTAAGACAAGAACTAAACCACCTTGTTGAACTTTGTGGCACGGGACTACCTTAATAAAAACACAGGCAGCATTAGTTTCAAAGAGAAGTTAAAAGTCGAATAACTAGTACAGTATGTGTTTCTCTTCTCTATAAATACAGTAGTGCCTTATAAACAACTTTACAGTGGACAATATTGGATTTCCCCCAGAATCCAATCTGTCTTCTGATGGAATGGATGGGGTAGGTCCACTGTGACTGGTTCAGGGATGAGTGTGAGACCAGAGATGGGCTTAATCAGAGTGAAGCTCAGGTCTCTGGTTCATTAGGGGGCATGTCCAGGTGTTACGCAGATGAGAGGTCTGCTGCAGCCATGTCCCTATAAGCCAGCACAAGGACAAAGCAAATACAGAGAAGAAGGTAGAGAATCCAGAGCAATGGGTCTGGAACATGCTTTAGATCTGTATTTTTCAGCTTTCAGTGACAAACCATTCTTTTTATTGTTGAAGCTGGCTTGAATTGGGATTGCTGTAACTGACACTCAAAAGTCCTTACTGGTATGACTGGCATATGGGAACAGGTTGAGAAAAGGTTGCTTATGGTAATTGCAATGATATATTTTGTAAAATTCCACTTCTGGTATATATATATATATATTTTTAAGACTGTATTTATTTATCTGACACAAAGAGATATCACAAGTAGGCAGAGCAGCAGGCAGAGAGAGAGGGGGAAGCAGGCTCCCCACTGAGCAGAGAGCCCAGGACTCTGAGATCATGACCTGAGCTGAAGGCAGATGCTTAACCACTGAGCAACCCAGGCACCCCCACTTCTGGTATATTCTTATGTTTTCTATTAGTATACTGTCAAGTAAAAAAAAAACAGAGAAACTTCTAATTATCTTTATTCTTTAAAAAGATTTTATTCACTTATTTATTAGAAAGAGAGAGAGTGTGTGTGACAGGGAAGAGCAGAGAGAGAGAGAAGAGAAGGGGGAAAGAATCTCAGGAAGACGCTTCACTGAGTGCAGAGCTAATGCCGGGCTTGATCTCACAACCCTGAGATCATGACCTGAGCCGAAACCAAGAGTCAGATGCTTAGCCAGCTGAGCCACCCAGGTGCTCCTTCATTCCTTCTTGATAGAAGACAATATACCTTAAGTCACTCTTCTAAGTTTACCTCTTCTCATTAAATAGCCACAACATCTTACAGGTGCAGGAACTGAGTTTTGAACCCAGTTCTATCTGACTCCAAAGTCTACACCCTTAACCACTCACTTTCGTGTAAGTGTGGGCAAATTAGGGCCAGAGAGTAAATATTTCAGGCTCTGTCGGCTCTAGGGTCTCTGTCCTAACAACTCAACTCTGCTTTTGTAATGAAAAAGCAGGCATAAACAATACATAAACAAATGGGCATGGCTTTGTGCCAATGAAATGTTTTAGGGCTATTGAAACTTGAATTTCATATATTTTCATGTGTCACGAAACAGTATTCTTTTGATTTTTAAAAGCTATTTGGAATGATAAAATCCATTCTTAGCTTTTGGGCTATACAGAAAATGACTCTTGCTCTACTGTTATAAATAAATCCACTCTCTAGATCCTGAGTGGGATAATATCTCATCTGGGTGCCTAACCTCCACTTCTCTGCTTAAGGCCAGTTAAAGAGTTTTGATTCAAAAAGATCATCTGGTTCCCAAGGTTCCCGAATAGAAATCAATTTCTTGAATAAATACTTTATTTAGATACAGCCTGTCTTCCCCAAACATGGGCTTCAACAAAAACAACAAACACTTTTAAAACAGAAATAATTGTTCCCAACATTCTGAAGGAACATTTATACATTTTTAGATGGGCGCATATATTTATTAAGTATCCCCTCCTTCTACTTGCCTTTTATACACCTCCTGAAAGCCACTCAAAATTTCTATGGATTTATGGACCAAATGAATTTACTGATGGAAACCCTGAAAAATACCCACGCAGTTGAATGCACCACCACACTTCCAAGACATTCTCAGTATTGGGTCCTGTATCTATAAGGTACAGAGAAGGTACTAGCATTGCAGATGGGGACTTTGAAGGGAGAGAGTACTGGGTTTGAATCTCAGTTTAGCCACTTACTTGCTATAATCCTAAAATGATTTAACCTTTCTAAACCTTGTTTTGTTCACCTGTAAAATAGGAAGAATGTATATAAAAGCAGTTAGGTCAGTTCTTGGCATCCAAGTGCTCCATAAATGGAAATTATTGTTATTTTACAGTAGTGTAACAGAGTGCAGATCAGACGCTAGAAACACAGGCTTTGGCTGGTTACTGAGGCCTGGCTTTGAATCCTTGCTCTGCTATCAATTAACATGAGCGAGTTTCTTAGCCTTGTTCAGTTTCCTCACTTGAGATTAGCTTTGATAATTATTTAAGAAGAGTTGGGAGAATGAAATAAGGCCATGTATGCACAATACACCATTTGCCTGGTAAAATCTGCTTGGTACAGCTGAAGCGGGATACACCTGTATAAATACTTTTCTAATAATAACAATGTTTGGGTCCATATACAAATTGCTTGTGGGTACAGACACAGCTCATAAATAAGAGAGAGCTGACAGCAACTTTTTCTTGTAATGAGGGCAGGGAGGGCATTCTACTCTCATCAGCAAAACAAAACTGTATAAATGTTCTCAATGATATCAATGGGAAGTTATTCTCTGCTCCAATTTATAGAAGACTGAACTGGTGCATTCATATTAATAGTACCCATAATAATAGAGAAAAAATGAGTAGCAAAGATAAATACAAATCACAAGAATAAAGCCTAATTACTTTGCAAATCCAAAATGCAGTTATACCCATGTCCAGTATATTTAGTTTTCAGAGACGGACTGCTACAAATTTCAATGTGGAATAAAAATGTTAATTTAAGCCACCAAGGATTTGCTTTTATAACACTTAATATTATAATCTTTACATTATCTTTAAAGTTGCTACTTTTTCTACATAATGGATGATGCATGAGCTTGCTTCCATATTTTGTGGAAGTCGAAACTAGTTTAAATTCACAGTAGCACTGTTTGAAATAGCAAAAATTTGGAAATAACCTAAATACTGATTAACATGAGAGGAGAAAAACTGGAGGATATCACTCAAGAGAATACTGCAAGGCATAAACAAAGAATGAAGTAGAGCTACATGTATCAACAGGAATTTCAAAAACATCATAGACTTAGAAGAATAGATGCTACATACCACTGATCTCATGTTTAAAAGATGCAAAATAGTTATGTTCTAAATAGGGTAAATATAGACAATATATTCTGAAAAAATAAATATAAACAATTGGTAAATCCAGGGAAAGGTATATGGGAGTTTTTTTAAATACCATTCTTAGAACTGTTCAGTGAATTTGGAATTACATCAAAATAAAAAATGAGGGGCGCCTGGGTGGATCAGTCAGTTAAGCGTCTGGCTCTCGATTTTGGCTCGGGTCATGGTCTCAGGTCATGATCTCAGGGTCATGAGATAAGAGCCCTGAGTGGGGCTCCCCTTCAGTAGGGAGTCTGCTTGAGATTCTCTCTCTCTCCCTCTGTTCTTCCTCCCATTCAAGCTCCCCCCCATAAAGAAATCTTTCAAAAACCAAAAAATAAAAAGTTAAAAAAAATTATATATTTTTTAAGGATACATACGACTGTGGTGGAATATAAAGGAATGAAGGCTGCTTATAGAAAATATCAAATTCAGGATAGGGTTGCATTGAGGAAGTGTGGAAGGAGGGGATACAGTTGGAGAACTGCACTTACCGTGGTGAGCACTGCATGTCTGAAATTGTCCAGTCACTACTTTGTACACCTGAAACTGACATAACATGGTATGTCAAACATACTTCAATAATAAAGATTTAAAAATATATATCCGAAGCCTATTTTCACCAACACCGCCCCTCAAACATCACAAGGCCGTTCACAATCCAGCATCTCCCCACCTTTCCTGCCTCATCTCCTGGCTTTTCTTCCTTATACTTTTCAGTCTTTTAATAGCACCGAACCACTAACAATTCTAATGCATACATTACCTTTACACATGTTGGTCTGTCTGGAATATCCTTCTCCCCCTTCCACCTGAAGAAATACAAGTGGCTCTTCCAAATTCAGCTCAGACATCACTCCCCCCCACCGAAGCCTCCTCTGTACTTCCTTGCTTGCACCTTGAACATAGTGACTGTTGCATCTCCCTGCCTCCCCTTCCAATGATGAGCACACTGAGAGCAGGGGGCTCATGTTTTAGTCATTTCCATACTCTTAACATCTGTCTGTGAGGATGCCTGCTACATTATGCCTGCTCAGTAAGATCTGGGCAACTAAAGGTTTTCCTTTGTCCTAAATTACAGGTTGATGATAACCTTTTTTTTTCTTCGTGTTTTAGACCTGTTAATAAAGGATTATCTTGAAGATTCTTTTCTACCCTCAAAAGTTGTGCTTGATTCTTTAAGCTGCTAATGTTTTGTCCAAGTCAAGCTAATCACCCAGAATCCTTCACTTGATTTCCTTGATGCACTGTGACATCCACTCCTCACTTCTACTTTCAAAATTAATTCCCAGTTACCATGTGCTCTCAGGAATTTGGCCCGTTTTTAGAGAACTGAAGCCAGAGATCACAAATTGGCTGGTCACAGACTTTTTGGTGGGGAGGGCGGCAAAGTTGTTGTCTACACACAAAACTGCCACATTGTAACATCTACTGAAAAAAATGGAAGGTATGGCAACAGTGGAGCCTTAATTCCCATGGTGACAACGGTGTGCGGGACCTGAGTAGACAGTTGCCACCTCTCAGATGGCACATCTACTCTCCTTTCCCCAGCCCCCATTATCGTGAATGTTAGTCCTCATTTATAATTCTTCTCACACTGCTGCTTCCCCCCCCCCACCCCTGCCCTTTTAGTTCACCTACAGCCACTTATTTGTGACCTCTGGTTTTCACCATTCCATCCTCACACCTTATTTTCATTCAGTATCACAACTTTGCACAGACACTGGTAAGAAATGGCTCAGAATACGCACACTACCCTAAATGCACTTTGAGTCTCCCACTTGTATGGAAAAACACCTGTTCACTTAATAGCAATAATCCAACCCACACACTAGGTGTTTAATAACCACCAGGCCTATAAATGATAAAGCTAAATAAGACAAGTTTCCTTTTTGCTTTCCTTTAAGGAGTTCACACTGTTTTGCATTCTCAGGCCTTTACAAAGTGCTTTACTGTGCATTATGCAGTCGCTCATTAGTTCCTCTTAAGAATCATGTGGTGGGGGGAAATGCAGGGCAATTATATTCCTGGCTTTAAAGTTGAGAGAGTTGCCTGGGGATACTTTCGATGCTTATTGAGGCTTTTTAAAGTGCCAGGCACTATTCAAGGCCCTGGGCAGACAGCCAGGAAGAGAAAGACAGAAGGCGCTTCCTACCTTTATGGAGCTTACAATCTAGCGAGGGAGGCAGAGGGAGGCAAACGTTAACGTAGATAATGCTAGGACAGTGACTGCAGCCATATTAAAGAGGGAAGAGGGGCGCCTGGGTGGCTCAGTCGTTGGGCGTCTGCCTTTGACCTAGGTCATGATCCTGGGGTCCTGGGATTGAGCCCCGCATGGGGCTCCCTGCTGGGTCGGGAGCCTGCTTCTCCTTCTCCCACTCCCCCTGCTTGTGCTCCCTCTCTGTGTCTCTTTCAAATAAATAAATAAAACCTTAAAAAAAAAAAAAAAAAAAAAAGAGGGAAGGGAAGCGACTCCCGGCTGAGCAAAACCGGTCTCTAGAAGGAAGTGACTGCTGGGCTGATCTGTGAAGGCAGGAGCCAGCCCTATGATGACGGGAGGGAAGCGCAGTGGGCCCCGTGAGTGCCAAGGGCCGGGGAGGCTGCCCCCCAACTCTGGCCCTCGACCTTTCTCCGTTGGCCTGGCCCTAGAGCTAAGACAAGGCCCTCAGCAGGGGCCGCGTTTCCTCTGTCACCATTACTTACAAGCTGCTGACCCCCGGCTTGAGGCACGGCCCCACTGGCTCCGCAGAGGCTGCAGCGATGGCGCCGCGATCCGGCCCTGCGGCCGCACAGACGGAGCCGGGCTGGCCGGGGCGGGGCAGCTAGCGGGCTGGACCGGCGGGCACTGCCCAATATGGGCCTGTGAGGGCCCGGCGATATAAATAGACAGCGCTGGGAGCGCAGGGCACCGAGGGCCCGCGCCCTGCGGAGGGGGAGGGAGAGCGCTGGCAGCTCCTCCGAAGCAACAGGTTCTCGCCCTCGGCGCCCCGGGAGCCCGGACTCCGGCCGCTCTGCGCCTGCGCGGGTGATCCTTGCGGTCCGCGACGGCAATCCACAAGCGGCAGGCCCGCACGCCGCTCTGCGCCTGCGCCACTCTTCCCGCGCAGGCCCGCGTGCCAGGACCGCTGAACGTCCGCCGGAAGTGGGCGAGGATATGGTTTAAAATGAACCTGGAAATCAGATTTTTTTAAAAATAACACATCTATACGCTTAATCATTTAAAAAAATGCAAAACGACCCAAACCCACTATGTGTGGGTTCACTGAATGTGGCCAGGAAATAGGGTTGCCAGATGAAATGTCCAATTAAATATGAATTTCGGATAAACAACCAACAGTTTTTAAAGTATATATCCTAAATACTGCATGATCAATTCACATTTAACGGAATTTGGGTGCTTGTTGCTTCTTTTGGGATCTGTACTTTTATTTGCTACGTCTGGCAAGTGTACCTGGAAAAACCAGCCGCCCCATGACCTTTGGTCTCAAGTGGGAGGTCCCCTGGCAGCCTGAGAAAAGATTGATGAGTTATGCCCAGGTTTGGGGTGGGGCAGAGGAATGTTCCCTGGAGGGAAGTGTAACAATTTCTACTGTGTGGATAAGGGAATAGTATTTAAAATAAAACAAATTTGTGGTAATACAAAATTATTCTTTTAATAAAATTTTATTTCGTGTATTCTGACAGTCAGACGTCCAAAATGGGTCTCCCTGGGGCCAAAGCAAAGTGCCTGCAGGGCTGCGCCTTTTTTTTTTTTTTTTTTTGGAAGCCCTAGGGGAGAATCTGTTTCCTGGCGTTTCCAGCTTCTATTAACTGTCCTCATTCTCTCTGCAGCTCCTGGCCCTTTCCTCCATATTCAAAGCCTTTGGAAACACAGCTGAGCCTTTCCCAGACTGCCCTTGGTACTGATTTTTCTGCTTCCCTCTTTTTTTTATTTAAATTGTGGTTAAATATACATAAAGGTGACCGTTTACCATATACATAAAATTTTAACCATTTTTAAGTGTACAATTCAGTGACATTAAATACATTCACAATGTTGTGCAGCCATCTCTAACCATTTCCAAAATTTCATCATCAGAAAGAAAAAAACGTTTCCCAAATAGCAACTGTATACCCATTAAGTCCCCACTACCCCCCACCCTTGCTCCAGTGTTTCCCCTCTCCCCCGCAACACCTGGAGACCTCTATTCCACTTTGTGTCTCTACGAATTTGCCTATTTTAGGTGCTTCACACAAGTAGAATCATACAGTATTTGTTCATAGGTGTCTGGCTTATTTTAGCTAGCATAGCAACCCCAAGATTTATCCATGTCGTAATAGATACCGGTATTTCATTTCTTTTAAAAGTTGAATAATATTCCATTTTGTGTGTGCACATGTCATATTTAAAACAAAACACATTTCATGTTGGTAAGTAAAATTCCTTAAAGCATTTTAGAAGCTCATGTCAATCCTTGCATGCATTTATATTTCCACGTACATATTAGAGTTGTTTGATAAAACCTTTGTCTCCCTTTCCCACAAACTCCTGATCTATGAGCCCTGTTTAGGTCCTTCTACACCTTATTCTATTTCTGCTTCTGGTTTTGCTTACCAGATGATTGTGCTAAGTTAATGACTCTTTCTTAGTTTGATCTGAAGACTGTTTGATTTCTCGTGTGGCTACTTTATTTCCCCTCGTTCATTTGTTTCTAGAGGAAGTAAAACTTGGTGTTAAAAGCTAGGGCTGCCTGTGGGTGGAGAGGCTAAGCTGGAAGCTGCTGGGCTCTCTGGGATGTTAGCTGATTCTCAGATGATTTGCCAGATGATTAATGAAGGATTAATATTATCAAATAGACTGATGTACCAAAAATTTGTTTTAGGGAATGTGCTTTTTGAATAGATTATATATGAATATGTACTTTACTCAGGAGTGACTTACTGCTTCATTTTTAGCCTTCACTTTCTTCCCATGTTGAGTTGCTTCTCCTGTATTCCTTTGGGTATATTTTGCCATTTCAGTTTAATTTATTCCTCCTTCTTGCGCCTTGAAGCTAATCTACCCCGTGCCTGGCTCCCTTTTCCGTGCCTGGCTCCCTTTGATGGTGATTGCCTCTGGGCAGCTATTCCTTGATAGAGAAGTCACTTTTCTCCTCACATATCCAATCCTGTCCCATGACACCTCCACCTTTTAAAGGAAAAGTACGCACTCCTGACACTGGTTCCTATCTTGAACTATTATCTATCACTTGGGTTGAGCAGTTCCTTGACTAGGGAAAATCAGGCATCTAAGTGAAAAAATGAACAACCAACCTGATTATTTTAAACTTAATTCATCTCCCCCATCAACCACCAAAAAAAACCCCCAGCTGGCCACAGAATGACAAATGGATACACACCAGCGGTATCAGCTTTTTTTTCTTGGTCTTCATTCTTCCTCTCCTGCTGTAGTTCTTCTGCTCTATCTTCTTGTCTATGGAGTGATATTTTTGAAATATTATCTATTTTTTCCCACCCTCCTTCCTTCATCATGTATTTCCTTATGACGCTTTGCTTCTCTATACCATTTCAAGGTTGAAAGTATTCTAGGCTCATTTCCTCTGGGGGGGGGAGGCGGTGTGTGTGCATGGGGGAATCAGGACTCAGAAAACCTGGCAGGTGGGGAATGGAAGAAATGCTCTCTTCTGATTCCAGGAGCCTGGCCTATTTCAGGAGAGAAATGAATTATTGGCATGTGTAATACATTTGGGAGGAAACCTAACTTACAGTAATGGGATCTTCTTCCCATAGTACTTCTTTCCCCAAATGAGAAACAGGGAGGTCTCTGGAGGAGAAGTAACAAAGATCATGCCCTATTGAGCCAGACTAGGTGTGGGGCAATTTGGCAGCCAGAACCCAAAGAGAGGAAGACTCCACAGCATCTTGGCCAGCGAGGGCTTTAGGTAACCATTCCAGAGGCTGGCATATCCTGCTGGGGCCCCAGTGGTGGAGAGAGCCACCGAACCAGAGAGGCTCGTGCAGACTGGTAGGCGGAGACTTGTGCAAGACCAAGGACCTTGGGGCAATAGACATCTGGTGGGTCAGTACAGACAAATGGCAGACTTTGAGCATACAAATGCATGCCCCTTGGCCTGACTCCATTGTGTTGGTCAGACACTCCTGCCCCCCTCCCAATGGAGCTTAGATGCGACTCTGGGAAAAGGAAGTTTTGGCCATCCTGGTGGCATGGGAACTTCCACTAGAACGTGTTGGCACTAAGAAAGTAGTATTTCACCCACACTGTAGTTTGTGGACCGAGGGCTTGACACCCCCCCGCCCCCAACCACGGAGTCTGGTGCGGAAGCATGAACATCAGCAGAAGTGGCTTGTCACCCTGTGGGGGAAGGGATGTAGGGAACCCCGAGATTTCTTCTGTCAGCTTTAATTTCAGCAAGCAACCAGGAGCAACTTGAAAGGGAGAGGTAAGAAACAGGAACCCAAGTTATCACACCATTGATTTTGCCTTTTGTCTGTAGCTGGTTCTTTTTTCATGCTGAATGTTAGCCCCCTGAAGGGAGTGTAGTTTGTCTCTCTTCTTCCTTGCTAGATCCTCAGCACCTGGAAAAGTGCTTGGCACAAAGGCGTGCTCAATAATTATTAGGGAATGAACCAGTAAGCGGGTCAGAGCCACTTGGTGTGGGTAGTGGAATTCAGTTCAGCTAGTGTGGGATGCCCAGGAAGCAGGGTTGGATGTTAGAGCACTGGGAACGGTGTGTCCCGGGGCCACAGTCAGCAGATAGGCCCCCATCGCCTGCTGCTCTGCCCTGAGAGTGTGTGGACTTCAGAAACTTCCACAGCTGCTTCACGCTCTCCCACAGAGCTTGTCAGAGGACCTGATTTACCGCCAGGTGACCTGTGGGTGTGCCTCTGACCATGGAAGCCAGGTCCCCTCCCCACACCTTGGCTTTGAGAGAGGCTGAGAAATGGAACCTGGAGAAACAAGTATTTTTGTACTTTCCAGCTCTTATAGTTGGAAGTTTGGGATGCGTGTTGCCACACCTCCTCCTCCTGAGGTTTGTGGGCTCTGAGGAATGAGGCCACCAGGACCTGATGGGGCCAGAGGGGTGTGTGGGGAGGAGTGGGGGTGATATTTGTGCCTGCAGCTTCGGCTCAGCACCTGTGGGTGTGGGAGCGTGGAGGCTGTAGAAATTGCAACACCTTCATTTTGCTATTCTTATCAGCTGTTTGGGTCCAAAGGGCTCCGAGCATTGTGGCCTGTGGCTGTCACATGGCACTCTCCCTCCAGAGCTCCATTCTGTAGCATGGGGCCACACCTGTCATAGTTTCCCATCAAGCCTGAAAACTCCCAGAAGCTGAGGGCTCTGTCCTGTTCGCCTTTGTGACACATTCACACGCCTGCCTCAGACCTTCCAGAAAACGGGGTCAGGGAACGTTCACTGATTTGGATGACAGAGGCAAGGCTGGTAAGCGACAGGAAAGCAGGGCTGGGGATGGGACACCGGGTGTCCTAACCTGGCACTGCTCCTGAAGGCCTCATGGCCTCTGGACACTCAGACTTCTGGAGGAGGAAGGCAAAGTGATAATGTGTCTACCTCACAGCCCGGTTATTAGAAGGATGAGCGAGGAGAGCAAACAGATGTGGAAAACGGCTTTGATAAACTATAAAATAACTCACCATCATTTTCCCTGATGTGGCGTGTGATATTCACTGGAAACTCCTTTCCCCTAAGATCTTGAAAATGG